AGCTCCACATGTAGGTAGAGATAAGCATAGCCATTGTTGTGTTTGGAAGAAGAGAATCTAGGAGACCCTAGAACCTATTCAACCCTGGAATTTAAAGAGCAACACAATCTACCTTACACAAAATTATCATTTAAATATCTTACCCATTAATTGAAATCAATAAGACATGAATCTTTATCTCTCTTTCATACATATAACAAATTTCTACTGTCCTTACTGTGATGAAAAGTATATTGAGGGGGCTTAGTTCATCAACGGTGAACCTTCTCAGCGGTTTTGCCAATTTAATCTACCAGACCAACTTTTTAAAGCTCTAATATAGTATTGGAGGATTCTGCCTATATATGCTACACTTAAGGGTGGAATATTAGTTATGGTGTTCAAGCAAACTATGGACATAAGCTTTTAGGACAGTAGAATTACATATCCTTTTCGATAGAGAAATGCCAAACCTTCATCTTTCCATAGAAGAGAAAGTAGTCCTAGATGGGCCAGTGTCCATTCATCTACTTACTTTTTTTTTTTTTCAAAGGTTAAAATAATTTAATGGGATTTAGATTATTTAGTGGTTGGTTTCATTAGAAAAGCAATAACGAAGGTGCAAACAGAGAGCAGCATTGTTGAGCTTTCAATCTGATCCTAAGCAGCCAGCAACATGTTTACAAAAGTATGTGATAAAGGTTTTAAATAAATACTTATCTTCAGGCCTTTAAACAGTTGATTTTTCACATTTTTGTGGTCAGAGTAGCAAAAATCAAGCATTAGCAGCTCTGGCACTTTGGACCTCCATTCCTACTTATATTACATAGATCTATAAAAACATAAGGTGCTTCTTCCAACAATGGTCAATAGATGCAATCTAGTTTTGACATTTATTTTTAAGTGAGAGGTGACCAATACTTTTTTAGATTGATTAAGGTTTGTATTTTTGTTATTGTATTTTTATTGTGTGTTCTTATACAAAAAGGTAATGGTTAAAATGTTTAAACACCATATTCACCACAACGGGGTGTGTTCCAAAGCTATATGCAGAGAGTAAGTGTCATATTGATGGAATGACTACACCAGGTATTTATAGCCCAACTGAAGCCGACGACCCACTTTACCTCTATAAATAGCTGCTTTCACCTTTCTTCCCTCATGTCTCTGCTCTCTTCTATTTATTTATTTTTTTAATACAGTAAAACCTATCTGCAAGGGACACCTCCTAGTTGTAGAGCTAGAGTAATATTTTTTAGGGAGAGCAATCCTCTTACTGAAAAGTTGCCATTTATTCATATGTTAAAAGTTAATCAAATATATATGAGCATTAGAATATTATATTATAGAAATGAATAACCTATTTGATGATTATTTTATTTTTGTGAATATAGCTTATTCTGAAACATTGTACCTTTGAGTAGAAAAAGGAAAATATTCCTAGAGATTCCCATCATATACAATTGTTAATTCGATGCTTGCAATAATTCAACCATGTTTTCATGTCCCAACCTCCAAGCCTATCAAATAACCACTGTTAATTCAACCAAATGATAATTCAACTGATTTAAAAAAAAATCAAATTTGGACAACATTAGGTATGAATTTATTGCTAATAATACAATACTCTTCACACACGGCTGTAGTTATCATATGCACACCATGCTTAAAAGGGTTACACTGCATCTCAATATTGGCGGTGATGTCGCACACAATTTTTGTTTCCTCCTTGATGATTTAGGCTCAACTTAAGCAGCCTACAGTCGTTGGCATAAACAATGAGGTGTCTTAGAGAGTAACATTCTGCTCTTTGAAATTACATACAGAAGAGGAAAGATATACATGCCTTTTGAAGATTGGTCAGCTAGAATGTTCACTAAATAGGGTTCTTGTCTAAAAGTAAACATAATTTCTCTAAAAGATAAATAATTTTAAATAACATTGTTGGACTGTAATACAGTAGAATCTTCATGAGAGGACACCATTATATAAAGGACAGTTTTCATTTGCAAAATTGCTATTTTTGCAATTTAACAACTCTCCGGTTAGAGGACACCTCTCCCTAAAGGACACCTTGGCTCTGCAATTAGGTGTTGTATTTTACAGGGAGGTTCTACTGTACTCATTTTGAGCTAGAAAAGAACTCCTGCTGTTCTAGTTCACCTACTGAGTAGTTCACTAGACAGTATGGTTGGTGCAGGTGTGTTATGGAGTCCACCCAGTGTCCCTGGGCAATGAGCTCACCCCCACCCAGGTGAAGGACCCTCCCATAGTAAAGTACAATGGGGATGCTGACACCTACTACACCCTCTGTATGACAGGTAAATCACATTAGTAAGCAATTATATCCTCGCGGATCTAAAGGATAGCAATAAATTGAAATTTGTGATACAGCGCTGAAGTTATTTTACTTTTTACAGGAATCATATTTTTATATTTAAAAATAATACTTAGATAAATAATTCTAAAAAAAGAATTTTGGTTTCCTGTTGTAAATTCCAAGTTAATATTATTAATACTTCCTTTTATCGCCTGTAGATGGCGCGCTGTGGTACCTTTGCATATATTTTTCTGCGTTAGGCAAATTTCTGAAAACATGGCCACGTGTACACTATGGCGTACTGAAGGTAATTCCTAACTGAGAAAGAAGCTAAGCTGACGGAGTCCAAACCACCATTTTGATTCCACGTCCGCCCAGTGCGGGCTATATAAGCCGAACCCTCTGTATGACAGGTAACTTGTTGAGACAGTACATGTCCCTTGTTGGGAGATAGTAACAAGAGTAAATGGTTAGATGAGAAATATAATTCTCAAAGGATGAAAGACCCTGACACCAAGTATTCTAGTGAAGTGTTGACCATGGGAGTGTTTAGGGCATCTCTACTCCAAGGATCATTATATATTGGCCATACTAGAGAAATACATCTTGAAGAATGAAGCAGGAAAGATCACGAAGTGGTTTGGAATTAGGCGTAGAAAGAGAAGTGAAGAAAAATTGGGCAGAACAGGGTGAAATGGTTGACCTCTGTATCCCAGCTGGCTGTGCTACATGGGGAAGTATTCTCATGGATACATGGTTGGCTTGTCTTGATTTATAAAAAAAGGGGGTTTTGGTCCATATTCTGTGGAATGGAAAAAAAAATCACCAATAGATATTTAGTCTGATAGATGCCATCAGCAACATTCATTTACACAATCAGCCTGTTATTAATTATGTCACCTGATGTATTTTCTCCATTTGATCTTGTACTGTAGGATTTTTGCAGAATTGGAAGATAGAATCCACTGAAATATAAATTATAACAACACACCGAGGATAAGTTTCTTGTTTTATTTAAACAATATCTCAAGATTTCAGGTATCACAACCCTTTTACAGCAGTATATAACAATTTAAATAGTACAAGAAAATAAGACCTAATCCAAATAATTTAATAGTGTGTGACGTTTCTGCAACAGCTTTGTCACCATCATCAGACAAAAGAATAAATTTAATATTATAATAATTTATTCTTTTGTCTGATGATGGTGACAAAGCTGTTGCAAAAACGTCACACACTAATAAATTATTTGGATTAGGTCTTATTGTATTATAATCTATAATCCAAATTGTGCTTTATCAATATAAATAGTAGTTAAAGATTCATTCCGTTGTATACTCCAGTAGAAGGGTTTATAATACCTGAAAATTTGAGATATGGTTTAAATAAAGCAAGGAACTTATCCTCGGAAGCAGTGTGTTGTTACAAATGTAGGATTTGTCTGAACTGACCCTACTTAGAGTGAGAATCTCCCTCCTGGAAAGACTTAGCCATTTATTGTTTTAAAGGTGTATTTCTTATCCATGGTAAGTTATTTATAGATTTGTGTGTGTGGCTTCATATCTCTTGTAAGGTTAGTCAGGTAGAGAGAGCAATAATCTACAAGGTTGTGTTGACAGTTCTCAGGGAATGTAGGACAGCATAAGTAACCAGGGTGATGAGGCAGCTCTGTGGTTCACTGACATTGATGTTGAAACCTTGGAATAGCTTCTTCAATATATATTCAACCTCATTATAAGGGGGTCGGTGGAAAGATGGTCTAAACCTTTGGTTTTCAACCGCTACGACCCGGGTTCGATTCCCGCATTGGGCACTTTTTTCGGATTAAAAAAAAAAAAAATGCTCCAGTGGGCCCCAGATTCTTGCAAAAGTCCAACCCCACCAGCGAGTGCAAGTAACTAAATGGGGCTCTGGCACATTTGTAAGTGCAAAGTCGAACTGCTTTTCACATGTATAGACATGTGGTGCACTTACAGTAAAAGCAGTCGCCTACTTCTGTCCACCATGATTATCATGGCCTGTAACACGTGTACTAGAAATAAGCAAAAAAACTAACAAAATTCCAAATATTTTCAAAAAAAAAATTATGCTCATAGACTAAATTTAAGGAAGTTATACTATTTAGCATGTATATCGGGATTCAGACAATAACTTTGAAAGTTATTTGATACACAGTGAACTTTATTGAAGACACTCGAGATAAACAAGTGTGAACAAAATTGCCTCTGTTTCCTTAAAAAAAAGAAAGACAAACCGATGACATAAAATTTTATTACTTTCTTAAGTTTTCTTCCATGAGTGTACTTTGAAAGAAGTCCCTGGAGTAGACAGCAGAAATGTAAAACTTCAGTAATGCCTATAAGATGTTATCAAGTAGAAAATGTAGGCATGCTGTGACAGACCCAGATGCCCCCAGCCGAGCCAGCCCCAAGTACAGGGAGTGGCACCACTGGCTGGTGGTGAACATCCCCGGCAGTGAGGTGGAGAAAGGAGAAGTCCTCTCTGAGTACGTTGGCTCCGGACCTCCCAAGGGCACCGGTGAGTCCACAACCCATCTACTTCAATGTGTGTGCAAATGTTAAGGATTAAAACACATTTGTAAAAGTTTTTAAAATCTTTTCAGAGGAGCTATTTATACATGATTCTATAAATAAGTTCATTAAACATAAAAGTTAATTGTCGCATTTTCTTTCTTTTGTATTTGAGCTGGACGTAATTCAAACACGCAACCTTCTGATCTGGAGTCAGACGTGCTACCCTTGCGCATTTACATATTGCTAACTCAATATATAATATATATGCCATGGAATTCACGTAATCTTTACACAAGGGGATTAGAAACAACAATATATATGCAAACTTTCTTTATTAATATTACTGTAATTATGGATAATATTATATTTTTTAAAACAATTGTTTGTTTCTTAGCTTTTACACACCATTATATATCACTTTTGACCTACTCCCTGATTATTTGGAGTAGTTTCCTGTATAGGCCTCATCCCCCCCCAAACCAGGTTAAATATCTTAAGATATCAGCACTTCAATATTTATTCTTCTAAAACATGACATTTTGTAACAGGAAGAGATGATAAGGAGTGTTCACAAATATTGAATTTTCTTAAGAACAAAAGATTTTACAAAGAGTAGAGCCTTAAAGAGAGGACACATCTCTACAAAAGACAGTTACCAAAATGACTATTTTTCCATACAAGAAAATAAGACCTAATCCAAATAATTTATTAGTGTGTGACATTTTGGTAACAACATTGTCACCATCATCAGACAAAAGAATAATAGAAACATTTTATTCTTTTGTCTGATGATGGTGACAATGTTGCTACCGAAACGTCAAACACTAATAAATTATTTGGATTAGGTCTTATTTTCTTGTATTATAATCTACAATCCAAATTGTGCTTTATCACGACTATTATTCCAATTAGCTCTTCAGTAAGAGGATGCCTTTCTAAAGGACACTTTAGCTCTGTAACTAGAGGTTGAGAGAGGTTCTACTGTGTTAAAAGTCGTGGCATAGACTATGTAAATATCTCTTTTGAGTGTATAACCTGGAATGTAAATTTCTTTTAAATTAATTATTATTATGTCAAATATATTTTGAATGAATTGTTATTATGTAAATTTTCTTTTGTATATAACTGAGCCGTGTTGTGGAAATAAAGAGTTTTCTTAGAGTTTCTGAGAGTGTCTTACTAGAGCGAGATCTTCTGCGTGTAGTAGCCGCTGGTTTCTGCCTGCGTTGTTTTCCTTCCTGGCTTGATCACCCAAGGCAGTCCAAACTGATATCTAGACTCTAGGTGAGGGTCTTACTTGTTGGGAGAAGGTTCTTCAATCTTGACCTCTCGTAATCTCAACATTTAGTGGCGTCCCCGGGTGGGCTGCGTGGCCTGGTCAAGTGGGGAAGACGGGAAGACCTGTAGGCGCTGTCTCCCGAGGAACACAAGGCGGGAAGACTTGTAGGCGCTGTCTCCCGAGGAACAAAAGGGGGGAAGACTTGTAGGCGCTGTCTCCCGAGGAACACAAGGCGGGAAGACTTGTAGGCGCTGTCTCCCGAGGAACACAAGGCGGGAAGACTTGTAGGCGCTGTCTCCCGAGGAACAGAAGGCGGGAAGACCTGTAGGCGCTGTCTCCCGAGGAACAGAAGGCGGGAAGACCTGTAGGCGCTGTCTCCCGAGTAACAGCAGCTCAAGGGAAGCTCAAGGTACAAGAAAGCTAAGGAAGCTCAAGGTACAAGAAAGCTAGGGAAGCTCAAGCTACAAGAAAGCTAAGGAAGCTCAAGGTACAAGAAAGCTAAGGAAGCTCAAGGTACAAGAAAGCTAAGGAAGCTCAAGGGTACAAGGAAGCTAAGGAAGCTCAAGGTACAAGAAAGCTAAGGAAGCTCAAGGTACAAGAAAGCTAGGGAAGCTCAAGGTACAAGAAAGCTAAGGAAACTCAAGGGTACAAGCAAGCTAAGGAAGCTCAAGGTACAAGAAAGCTAGGGAAGCTCAAGCTACAAGAAAGCTAAGGAAGCTCAAGGTACAAGAAAGCTAAGGAAGCTCAAGGTACAAGAAAGCTAAGGAAGCTCAAGGGTACAAGGAAGCTAAGGAAGCTCAAGGTACAAGAAAGCTAAGGAAGCTCAAGGTACAAGAAAGCTAGGGAAGCTCAAGGTACAAGAAAGCTAAGGAAACTCAAGGTACAAGAAAGCTAGGGAAGCTCAAGCTACAAGAAAGCTAAGGAAGCTCAAGGTACAAGAAAGCTAAGGAAGCTCAAGGTACAAGAAAGCTAAGGAAGCTCAAGGGTACAAGCAAGCTAAGGAAGCTCAAGGTACAAGAAAGCTAGGGAAGCTCAAGCTACAAGAAAGCTAAGGAAGCTCAAGGTACAAGAAAGCTAAGGAAGCTCAAGGTACAAGAAAGCTAAGGAAGCTCAAGGGTACAAGGAAGCTAAGGAAGCTCAAGGTACAAGAAAGCTAAGGAAGCTCAAGGTACAAGAAAGCTAGGGAAGCTCAAGGTACAAGAAAGCTAAGGAAACTCAAGGTACAAGAAAGCTAAGGAAGCTCAAGGTTTAAAGGAGCTCAAAAGGCCCTTTGTTAAAGGTTAAAAAGAGCTCAGTGAAGCTCAAGGTTTAAAGGAGCTCAAGAGGCCCTTGGTTAAAGGTTTAAAGGAGCTCAAGAAGCCCTTTGTTAAAGGTTAAAAAGAGCTCAGTGAAGCTCAAGGTTGAAAGGAGCTCAAGAGGCCCTTTGTCAAAGGTTGAAAAAGAGCTCAGTGAAGCTCAAGGTTTAAAGGAGCTCAAAAGAAGCCCTTTGTTAAAGGTTAAAAAGAGCTCAGTGAAGCTCAAGGTTTAAAGGAGCTCAAGAGGCCCTTTGTTAAAGGTTAAAAAGAGCTCAGTGAAGCTCAAGGTTTAAAGGAGCTCAAGAGGCCCTTTGTTAAAGGTTAAAAAGAGCTCAGTGAAGCTCAAGGTTTAAAGGAGCTTGAGAAGCCCTTTGTTAAAGGTTAAAAAGAGCTCAGTGAAGCTCAAGGTTTAAAGGAGCTCAAGAAGCCCTTTGTTAAAGGTTAAAAAGAGCTCAGTGAAGCTCAAGGTTTAAAGGTGCTCAAGAGGCCCTTCGTTAAAGGTTAAAAAGAGCTCAGTGAAGCTCAAGGTTTAAAGGAGCTCAAAAGGCCCTTCGTTAAAGGTTAAAAAGAGCTCAGTGAAGCTCTAGGTTTAAAGGAGCTCAAAGGCAAAGAAGTTGAGGATACCTACAAGGTGAAAGGCTACCTACAAGGTAAAAAGGATACCTACAAGGCGAAAGGATAACTACAAGGAGAGATGGAGTATGTTAGCAGAAGGTGTAGAGAGGCGATAAGAGGCGTTTTTACCGAAGTGGTAAATGATATGAATACAGAGTTAAGGAATCCTCTTATTGACAAAAGTAGCATATATGCCAAATTTGATAGATTGGAAGCTCTCTATTTGGAGCTGGTGGTATTGAACGAACAATACCAGGAAATTTTATTAGCCAAAGCTGAGGCGACTGACGATGAAATTGATAAAGAATTTGAGGAGTGTGAAGTCTACATCATGGAGAGATATTATTTAAAGGCCAGAATTCGCGAAATACGTGAGCAGGATAGGGATGCTCAGGCCAAGACTTCTCAAATTCCACCAGGGGCGTCTAGTGCCTCTCCGAATTCAGAAACCAATAATCAGAAAGTTATCAAACTTCAGACTACTTCTACGTCTCTATCGAAAAGCCCGGAAGAGTCCATGAAAAATGAAATTGAAGGCGTGGAAAAAGAGGATTCTGTAAAAACTGCTAGAGCTACGGAGGTGAAGCCTGCTCAAGCTAAAGCTAGAATGCTAAGGGAAGCTTGTTCAGCTCCCTCTATAATAGATATTGAATATGAGGGCAAAAAGGGTGCTATGAGTGCTATTAAAGAAAAGGAATTGAATGTGGCAGTTAAATGCAATAAAGTGAAGGATTCTGAAACTGCAGTTGATAGCTATGTAGGTGTGAGGGAAGCTGAGGCTAAAAACAAAGCAAATGAAGCGAAAGCAAAACCTGATAAAGCGAATCTTAAGGGCGACGGAGTAAATGATTCTGAAGCGAAGCCTAAGGGCGAAGGCGTAAAGGAATCTGAAGTGAATTCTAAAGACGGAGATAAAGGAGATCAAGTAAAAGAATCTGAAGGTCAAAAAGTAGGAGATGAAGGCGACGGAAAAAAGGATTCTGAAGATGAGCCTAAGGGCGACGGAGTAAAGGATTCTGAAGATGAGCCTAAGGGCGACGAAGTAAAGGATTCTGAAGATGAACCTAAGGGCGACGGAGTAAAGGATTCTAAAGATGAGCCTAAGGGCGACGAAGTAAAGGATTCTGAAGATGAACCTAAGGGCGACGGAGTAAAGGATTCTAAAGATGAGCCTAAGGGCGACGAAGTAAAGGATTCTGAAGATGAACCTAAGGGCGACGGAGTAAAGGATTCTAAAGATGAGCCTAAGGGCGACGGAGTAAATGATTCTGAAGCAAGACCAACTGGAGATACGGAATCTAAGATAAAGAATAGGGGAGATCTACAAAAACTTAAGGGCAACCCAGGGGATTGGCTCTCAAGGTGGGGGCAATTTGGTAGAAATAATGCCAATGAAAAATATGAAGATGCAAATTTAAAGGATAGGGAAGATTCTGAAGCGAAGCTTAAGGGCGATGGAGTGAAGGATTCTGAGACGGCAATTAAAGGTTATGAACCGGTAAACAATTCTAGAGCGGTAGCTGAAGGCGCTGACCAAGTAAAGATTTCAGATGAAACTGAATCGATTGATGATAATGAGGAAAATGAGGAAGGAGTTGTCAGAGTTCCAGCATCGAGGAAATTGGTGAAAGTAGGACCAACGAGAGATGCGGAATTTAAAATAAAGGATAATTATAAAGAAACAGAATCCCAAGATTTGAAAACCATAAATAAATCTGATTTTGCTAAGAGTAAGGACGATAAATACAACAAGGGAACAGATCATGATGGAAATGAAGCGAAAAATATAGATGCAGAACAAGGTACTGATTCGACGGTGGGGGAAAAGCTAGATGCAGAACAGGGTACTGATCCAAAAGTGGAAGATAAGCTAGATGCAGAACAGGGTACTGATCCAAAAGTGGAAGAAAAGCTAGATGCAGAACAGGGTACTGATTTAAAGGTGGAAGAAAACCTAGATGCAGAACAAGGTACTGAATCAAAGGTGGAAGGATACTATTGGCCTCGTCACCTTTTGTTTAGGAATGGGTCCAGGGCTACGCCTATGCGGC